GGACCATTGGACAGTTTGAGGTATACCAAGCCGAAGGGCACAGCTTGCCTGCGATTGCATGCCCTGGCCGGTCCAAACTTTACGAACTGGCCCGGCCGAGCCGGCGTCTCGTCGTCTGCACGCCCTGCGGCCGTGGTGGGGGACAACAGGAGGAGTCCCGATCATATTGTGTCAGCCGTCATGAACGGCGTTGGTGGCCTTAGGCTCCTGGCAGGAATCGTGCCGAGTTGTTGACGTTGCCCATCGTTGGGAAGAAGTGGGTGGAAGCATGAAGGAAAAATTATTAACAATGAGCATACCCCCAACGCTTTAGGAGGGGATTGAATTTCGGAGGGACACAAACCGCCATTATGAGGACAGGGGGTCCATTTTCAGCAGAGGAGCCGCACCAAAAAAACACCCTGATGTATCATCACTGATGCAAAGAAGAGCCTCAATTCGGTTACATCTGCATCGTGTTATCGACGGGCCTTTTGTTCTCAAAGAAGGAAGACGTTGAAAGAACATTGTTGAGAAACCAGAAGGGGTTTATACCACGAACGTCAGCTTGTGATTAACAAATCCGTGGGGGGCGCGTGTCTAAAAAAATGGTCCCCTTGCTCGGGCGAATCGCGGGGTGGCGCCCGCCAGATTGAAAATCAACGGGGCGGCGCCGGTGATTAGCGCCGACACCTGGCTGCCAACGAGGGGCAACGGGGGGGTGTTTGGAGGCAAGGGCGAGCCAGGGCGCCGCTTTCTATGTCGAACCGATGCGGGCCTGCGGGCAGGCGGGCTGGACGAAACTGGGGCGCAGCAGTGGAGGAATGTGCCAAGCAGCTCACGTCGCCGATTTTGCAAGCGCCTCGTGGCGCCGAAAGCGGCCATGCGTCGAGGACTGGCCCTTCGGCGGGGCGATCGAAACCAGCTGCGCGCAGCAGGCTTTGCAACCCCCCTCTTTTCTTCCCCAGCCTTTCGTCCGACCAGAGCAAAGCGGGTAGTCCTCCTCCCCCCTTCTGTCGCCGTCGTCGCCGCCGTCCCCCGCCCTGCTTGCGCGCAGCAGGTTTCGCAATCCCCCCTTTCGAACCCCATCTTTTCGTCCGACCCGAGCAAGGCGGGCAGTCCTCCTCCCCCCATTTGTCGTGGTTTCTGTAACCGTCGTCGACGACGACGACGTCGTCGTCGACGACGGGAAGACGAAGACGACGGACGCTGGACGGCAGACGGCGGCGGCGACGACGACGACGACGACGACGACGCACTGCGGATGCCCTATAGGGGGAAGGGGGGTGCTGCCCAGGCCCGCTGTAGTCGACGACGATATCGACGACGACGACAACGACGACGACGACGAAGACGACGAAGACGACGACGGCAAGGACGACGAAGAAGAGAAAGAAGAAGACGACAACGACGACCACGACGACGACGACGACGACGAAGACGACGACGACGACGATGACGACGACGTTGACGACGACGACGACGACGACGACGACGACGACGACGACGACGACGACGACGACGACGACGACGACGACGACGACGACGACGACGACGGGAGGAGGACGTAAACGACAGACGGCGGACGGCAGACGGCGACGGCGGCCGACGACGACGACGACGACGCACAGCGGATGCCCTAGGGGGGGGCTGCGCAGGCCCGCTGCAGTCAACGACAACCGCCGACGACGACGACGACGCCGAAGACGACGACGACGAAGACGACAAAGACGAAGACGACGACGACAACGACGACGACGACGACGACAAGGACGACGAAGAAGAAGACGACGACGACGACAACGACGACAACGACGACGAAGACGACGACGACGACGACGACGACGACGACGACGACGACGACGACGCCTGAGAGGGGGAACAAAAATTCGCCTCGGATGTGCCCGACCCCTACAACATCTTTTATACGAAAGGCAATCATTAATTGGCTGTCATGCAGGGGGGTACACGATCCCCTCGGCGGCGCCAGCGACGACCCCCTGGCGCGCGTGATTAAAAAGATTCTTCGCCCCCGCGGGATCTATTCATCAGCCCCGAGGGGGAGCGGGGGGGGGGCCTTTCGTTAATCACGAGCTGACATTACTACCCAGACCTCCCAGGGTGCCGTTCTGACCAGGACTCCGAGGCAATTCCAGCGGTGGCGACGAGGGCCCCCCAGGAGACCCAAAAAGGGGAAAACGGGGCGAGGGGTAGCGGCATGGGCACCCTTTCCTCCTCTGACCTCGATTCTCGGCGAGGGAAGACGCTGAGAGTAGAGACGGGGCACCCGCCCCGCCTCGTCCAGCGGGGAGGGCACCCCTGGAGGCGGGCGGGCTCGCCTGCCCAGGGCCGCCGCGGGCGTGCGAGGGGCGCTCCGGGGGCCTCTTCGCGGCCGCCCCCTGCGGGGCGACACGAGCCTGCGCCGCGGAAAGCACAGGGGAAGCCCATGCCAAGAAGCACCCCGCTTGCCTCCAAGGTTTCTCGGGTTTCGATGGCTCTGCTCTGGAAAGCGCGGCGTGCC